GGAATACCTGGTTGACACAATAGAATTCAATTATAAGGTCTTAGGTTGGTAAATAAACAACCAAAACAGTACTATCTTTTGAATTCTGCGTAAACAAGATAAGAAACAATCAATCATATTAACCCACAATGCATAATAGTACCTATCTGGAATTTGATTGTTGATACATGTATTAGCTAATTCCTCCATGGTGGTAGTAACAATGAAATATATACACATAGAATACACAATGTTACAAGACACTATGGGCCCGTTTATATTACACTCTGAACGAACTGATTGACGAACTTGGCTTCTCTGATGTGCGTAGTATAAACGGTCTGGATTACATGTGATTACAATACCATCTGGACAAAAGGCTACTTAGCGAACTCCCAAACTTGCTGTGTTGGAAGTACTAACTTGTAGCCTCCAGGCATAAGTTTGACCTCTCCTGAAACAGTGGGTGGTAATTCAATAGCTTTCTTGCTGTTGATAGGTGCTAACAAGATGGGATGGGCTTTTATAATAGGCCTACAACCAGAATGATATAAGAAAATAATTATTGTTAATAAGGCCGTTATTAAGCAATAATTTTATATCTTAATTTACTGCTGAGAAGGCATAATATATACCTTTCACGAAAAGAGTCTTTTCCGAGGCTTTCTTATCCGCTGAAATCATCGTGATACGCGCCGGAGTGCTGCCTAGAGTATACCCGCTAGGCCTACCTTCACTTCTTCATTTGATTCTCACCAAACACTAATCTTTTAATTAATCCTTAGAACAAACAATAATGCATCTTTTTAGCACCAAAAAATCATCTGATCTGCCCCATTAGCCGCGCCTATTTATCGTGAGACGCGGGGTGCTAACTATAGTTTATTTACCTCCCATGGATTTTTTTTCTATCCTATGTTTTGCCCTGTACCAACTCATTTCTTGTTACTTGGCTTGGTTCGGACGAAATTATTAATCATGAGCTGGAGCGATGACGCTACATTCGCCCTTATTAGTATTTGGGGACAAGAAAACAAATAGGATTTGATGGGATGAGGAGAAATGCCTCCATATACACTGAGACAGAGCAAGTTGAAAGATATGAGATATTCCTTTACCATGAAGCAAGTAACAAACAAATGCAAAAATTTGCGGCGTCACTACATCGCCGCAAAAGACCAGAATGGTACTCGATAGTGCTGACTGCTAAACCCCGCGAAACTTTGTAAAAAAATGTCATGCTGACTTCAACCTTCCGTCAAACAAGGCTTTTCGCGAGCTACTTCACTTCCTGCCTAATCCGTGTTTCAGATTACATGTATGAACGTAAACCTAACACGGATCGGCCACGAGCAATGAAATACGTTACGTAACGGCAGATCCGTGTTTCTAGCAAGTGTGTAATATAAACACGACCTATGTTTCTGTACAGATGCACAGGGCCTTGAATAATACCTTTGGAATAAAGAACTCTAAAAGAGGGTGGAATTGTGAACTGTACTTCAAATTAAATTTCTTGTGTTGGTTCTTTCAACTGGCATTTCCAAGACCTACAGACTACTAGTTTTTGAATGGGAGAGCTCTATTATACTATACTGGTTGATGACTTCTCTCAAGAAAAATATCTTCAACAAAATCTTTATATTCTATACACTTTATATCAAACAAAATAATAACATTACTTTAGAATAAATACGGTACTTATTTTAAATATATTAATATTAATTTAGAATATGGTAACTGTATATATTGTATTTTTACTATGTAGGGGTTTTTGGATCTTTTAAAATTATAAACTTTAACTTTGTATAATTGTTTTGACCGATTCGTCCATACTGGTTAAACACTGTGAATAAATAAATGAGCAAATAAATAACCCATCTTGCTGGCAAATTTTTGACATTCCTCAAATAGGACAGTCATCATGATAGCACATATGCTTAAAAATATCATTACTTACATTAGATGACTTCAGATCTTTTAATGCTTTGTACAGTACATGGTGTACATTTTTGTTAATTATGTTTTTAATGGTATGGTCTTACTTCCTGCTCACAGGCAATTGATCAATTTTTATTCTTATCTACTTCCTCCAAAATGATTTCACATAGTCTTCAATCACATTAGTAGAACCTCGTTTTTATGTACCCCAGTTATATGAACCCTCGGTTTTACGTACGCCTCATATCGACGATGACGTCGTCAATAACCAAAAAAATATTCAAAACAAACGGCCCTTTTTAGAGCAACCATAAGTAAAAAGACTATAACAATAAACTATAACAAAAAACAAACAATAATGCAACATATTTTTACAGCAACACATGGTTTTATTCGTAGGCCTAGAGAGGCTAGGTCTAGCCTAGGTAACATC